GACGCTGGCGTTGACAATGATAATCACGTTGACGTTGGCGTTGACGATGACAATGACGTTGACGTTGACGTTGGCGTTGACGATTACGTTGGCGTTGATGAGGACGTTGACGTTGGCGTTGACGACGACGTTGAAGTTGGCGTTGGTGTTGGTGTTGGTGTTGGCGTTGACGATGATGTTGGCATTGGCGTTGACGAAGACGTTGACGTTGATGAGGACGTTGACGTTGGCGTTGAAGATGACGTTGGCGTTGACGACGACGTTGACGTTGATGCTGATGTTGGCGTTGACGTGGACGTTGATGTTGGCGTTGACGTTGATGTTGATGTTGGCGTTGACGTTGACGTTGATGTTGACGTTGATGTTGGCGTTGATGTTGATGTTGACGTTGGCGTTGAATTTGGCGTTGACGTTGATGTTGATGTTGGCGTTGGCGTTGACGTTGACAAGTCGAGGTGCGTTGAGTTCGAACGTTGTCGGAATTAGCAGCAAATTGCGGTCATTCATTGGCTCGGGCCAACGACGGAAAGAGGCACTGCTTTCGTGGAAAGGCCACGAGGAGAAAGCATCTGCGCTTGGTTGGAAGGGGTTGAAAAATGCAACCTTGAAGGACTGGAGGTTAAAGACTCGCGGTTGGAAGTACACATTTTTAGATTTTTGGTTACATAAAACATGGTCGAAGCAGTGTCAGTTATCGACTTTCGAATAGAATCTAAAGTTTCTCATTTTTTACAACTGGGTCTTGTTGTTGCCAGGCGCAATTAGTAGAACGCATCTATTCCGAAGTCGTCCGCCAGAGTAGTTGTCATGATTCCCAGCATCAGACAGTCGACTTGGTACATTCTCAGACGTTTCGCCGGCACCGAGGTCAATCCCTCGACGAGTGTTCTGCCAAAAATGGTTACACTATCACTCCTTTTTCTGTCCTCGTCTATCTATCTACTCTTTACACTCTTGAGAATGTACCAAGTCCACTGTTTGATGCTGGGAATCAAGAAAGCTGTCATGAAAGCAGACGACTTCAGACTAGGTACGTTCTACATAGTCGCCATGACAACAGGACCAAGTTGCGACCACGAGGTCAACCCACTTCTGTACATTGAAAGGAGACTGCGACGATACCAGAAGCTACAACATTTTCGTCTTTAATTTCAGTTTTTTGCAACAATTAATACATTTCGAGGGAAGAGATTGCAAGGTCGATCCGACCAGAAGACGACCAGCAACGGATTAGCTGGAACATTCTTTTTGACGCCGTTTTCCGAGATAATTTCGTTCGAATCCCGTCAACAGGTGCTAAGCCTTCGTCCGTCGTGTGGACGAACATCATCAGAGCAAGATATTATCACATGTTTTCACCCTATTTTATTTCAGGTGATAAAGGACTGGTAGAAGAAGAATTTTCCCACTCCTTCATCACCTTAAACGAAATTGGGTGACTACATCTCATACTACTTATTTACTGACAATCTCGAAACGCTACTCAAACAGGCAATAGCAAATATACGTTTGCTTCATCGACAATCCAACCAAAGAATGTGACGTAGGAAAAGGCCTGGCCTTCCTTAAAATTCACATCTTCCCTGTGACCCAAGCACACTCGTGGCAATGTGGTCGAGTGGTTTGTGTGTTTAGCTCACATTCTGCATTGTCACGGTTCGACCCCCGCTGGGGGTGTTGATAAGACCAGTTGAAGCGAGGTCGAAACTGCAGTCCGCTCCAACCGGGAACCGAAAGACAATTGATAGTCGTCGAGTGGAGGGTGGGCAAACAAGTCGCGAACAGATTGACTTGTGCCGACCTTGACACCAACAGACTAAACCAATAATTGATGGACGTCTAAAATGAATGAATAAAAATGTGATTTCTTACAATTGCTGATTTATTGTGAATTGAATGTGCATTTTTAAGGGAAATTTGTTCAGAAATGATTTGTGAAGAGGTT